ACCAAGCACTGTTTTTCATGTGCCTTAGCATGCCTTCCAGGAGAATCTGCTTGAAGATTTTGCCAGGCACAGAGGTGAGACTGACTGGTCTGTAATTCCCTGGGTCATCCATTTTCTCCTTCTTGAAAATGGGGGTTATATTCCCCTTTTTCCAGTCTTTGGAAACTTCACCTGACTGCCATGATTTCTCAAATATGATGGACAGTGGCTTAGTAACTTCATTTGCCAGCTCCTTCAGGACCCGCGGATGGATTTCATCAGGTCCCGTGGACTTGTGTACGTTCAGGTTCTTAAGATGGTCTTGAGCCAGATCCTCTCGTACAGTGGGCCTAGGGTCTTCATTCTCACAGTCTCTCCGTCTGCCTTCCAAGAACCTAAGTTGACTTATCCTAAGGTGGGTTGATAATTTTAGAAAATTACAGTTCTGAAAGTTTTAGACCCCTTTCATTACTACGGCTTTGATATTTGTCTGTGAGTAGAGTGCTGATAGCGAATACAGAGAAAAGCAGCAGATTACTATTATTGTGTTAATAGCAATCCTGAGAAACTTCCCAGAAATTTTACCAGCTCTTTATCATTTGTGAATATTTTTTCTGGTAACTATGAGGTTCCCCCATATGCCTTCTCTCTTCTATTTTCTCCTAATTAATTTCCATGCTTTTCTATTCTGCTCCATGAGGAGACACTGTTCAGCAAGAAGCTGTGGTTAGTAAGGAAGTGGTGCATGTCTCATGAGGCATGTGTTTTCAGCAGCCTTCTCCCTAGACTTAGCAGCTGTCAATGATATAGAGATTTGAAAGTTGCCTGCACATATGGGTATGATATAAAAGATTTCCTTTAAAGGAAACAAAATAAGGAAGAAAGCTGAATTTCCAGATGCTACTTTTAGATGAGATTCTGGTTGCAAGCACATATGCAGTCTGTATAGCAATTAACTGTTCCAACACAGGAACCAAAACAACAGTGCAAAGGATGCTTGTGTTGAAATCAGCTAAAGGTTAAGAAGGCAATGATTAAGCATTGAAAATCAGGAACACTCTGAAGATAGGCTATATTCAAGATAGAACCATTTTTATTATCTTTCTTGGAAAAAAAGCAGAGAGAAGCAAGTCAGAAATGCTGAGAATTGCTTTGGTTTTGTTTTTAGAAAAGTAAAAAGTAAATGAATGAAATTATCATAGCACACTATACCATTTAAAATAAATAAACTGATTTCTGACCATCATTTGCTGAAGAATGCGCAAAAACATCTGCAGAGAAGTCTCAGTCTGGAAGATGAAACTGAAAATGCGTGCATCAGTGATCTTCATGTGTGAGAGACACCAGTAACACTGGCCACAGAGAAAGAAATTATAGTGTTCTTTTCTGGAAATGTTTCTCCTATGGTGACAGCTGGCATTTTACAAAGAATAACTAAAAATGCCATTTATGCAGTAGAAAGAATGGGACCCATATTGCAAATTTCTTTTTCTTTTTTTTTTTTTTTCTTAAGTATCATTTGTGGAAGTACTGACATTTATGAATGATATTTTTATTTCCTGGCTGTTTTTGTTACCTTTGACTAAATGTCTCAATTCCCTACAGCATAGAAAGGAAACCATTGATGGTCAATTTCTGTAATTCTACTGGCTTCAGCAGCAACATTTGTGTGAATAAGAACAGGATGAACAGGAACAGAATTCCATCCTGGGGATATTTTTACATAGGGAAATTAGAATACATATAAATTAAGATTTTGGTTAAAATGAAATGTATTTTATCTTTCCCATCCTACAGTGGTGCAAGGGAGAGCTCTGTGTCACTGCCTGTGTGTCATGATTTACACCAGCCGGCAACTAAACACCACTCATCTGCTAGCTTACTCCCCATGATGTAATGGGGAGGAGAATTGGAAAGAAAAAGGTAAAAAAATGTGGGTTGAGGTAGGAACAGCTTAATAATTTAAATACATTAAAATATAGTAATAACAACAGCAATTATAATAATATTAATGAAAAGAATTTTTTTTCTCTCTTCTCGAGAGGGAAATAAAACCCAAGAAATGACAAATGATGCGCAATACACCATCCAGTATAATTCCTGACTAAGGCCCAGCCTGTCCTTGAGCAGCAATCAATTCCATCTGGGTACCTCCTCCCAGTTTATATATTGGGTGTGAGTTGCTGTGGTACAGAAAATCTCTTTAGCAGTTCGGTCAGCTGTCCTGGCTGTGCTCCTTCCTGGGTTCTTGTGTCCCTCCTCACTGATAGAACATGGGAAATGGAAAAGTCCTTGGTTTAGGGTAAGCACTGCTCAGCATCAACTTGTATTATCAACATTATTCTCAGACTAAATCCAAACCACAGCACTGCACCAGCTACTAGGAAGAAAATAAACTGTATCCCAGTGGAAACTAGGACACTGTGACAGTCCCTCCACTGCTGGAAGCTGTCAGAGGCATTCTGAATAGACATTACTTGGGTAGTGTACACAAACCTGATTTTTGACTTTTACAGAAGCAAGCATTCAGAGCTTGAGGAAGAGAGTGTTTCATGAAGTTTTGACATTTGAATTTCTCCTGGTAATTATGTATTGTCATTCTTGTTTGCTTATTGTTTTCACACTCCAAAATAATGGAAAGAGATGTCATAGAACTGTAGGAAACTAATTGGGAATCACTCAGAGTTTGATTAATTAAGTGTAATTTACTTTTTGACATTTCTGAAAGGAAAAAATGCTTTCCTACAAAAGTAAAGTTGCTGAGTTTCATTTTATCAAAGTTGAGTTGTTTTCTTCTAAGCATAAATGTTTCAACTGCCTTATTTTTATCCAGCATAAAGTCACAATAAACAGTATATAATCTCTGAGCCCCATCCACTGCTACATTTTGTCAATTTAATGTTGGTATAACTCAGTAATAAAGAGAAAAAAATCTACTGACTTAAATATACAAAACTGGTTATACACTGGTAAATTTATCCTATAGTATAATCCTCATATATTTTGATTCCAATGCTTAAAACAGATGTTGTGAAACTGAATAAACAAGTTTGTGGTTTTTTTTTCTTGAGAACAAAGCAGTTAAGCTACTGGAGTTAAAGAAAAGATAGATATCTTTGTTATTGAAAAATTCTGTTTCAGTGTCAGAAGTGAATTTTTCCTGTGATTCTATGTTACGGCCACTTAACGACTACGGTAACCATAATAAATGCTTTTTTTTTCTCCAGCTATCTTAGTAGTGTTTACTTTATGGTTGATCTATTTTTATTGAAGTCATGACGCAATTATCTGTGAATTGTGTGGTTTTGTATGTTCAACATTTCTTGCTTTACCAATCAACCACACATTTGTTTTCTTGGGTGTCCAAGGATGTCAAGCTTGTAATTAACACTAGACTTATCAAGTTCTCAGACAGTATAAAACACTGGCCTTTAAGCAGTTCTTGATGTATACACATGTGCACTGGCAGTGAATGTTCAAAATGTGTATGAGGAAATGTTTGTGAACTGAGATGTTTCAATTTTCTAAGAGAAGTGGAAATTGATATTACTGGGATTTTTTAAACTTGTTCAGAACAGGCCGTGTCACATATTAAAGTTAATGCACTTATAGGAAATGCATGTGTCAGACATCTACAAATGTGATCAATAGTGCTGGTTTTGGCTGGGGTAGAGTTAATTTTCTTCGTAGTAGCTAGTACAGGTCTGTGTTTTGGACTTTTGCTGGAAACTGTTTTGGTAGCAGTGGTATTCTAGTTACTGCTGAGCAGTGCTTACACAGAGCCAAGACATTTTCTGCTCCTCATACCACCCCACCAAGTAGACTGGGGATGCACAAAGAGCTGGGAGCTGTTGTCAGCTGACCAAAGGGATATTCCATTGCATATGGCATCATGATCAGAACATAAAGCTGGGGGAAAAAGAAGGGAGATGGGGAGGGGGAAACATTCAGAATGATGGTGTTTGTCTTCCCAAGTAACCATTATGTGTGACAGAGCCCTGCTTTCTTGAAGATGGCTGAATGCCTGCCTGCCTGTGGGAAGTGGTACATGAATCCCATTTTGTTTTCCTTGCATGTACAACTTTTTCTTTCCCTATTAAACTGTCTTTATCTCAACCCATGAGTTTTCTTACTTTTACCCTTCCAATTCTCTCCCCCATCCCACTGGTGGGGAGTAAGCAAGTGGCTGTGTGGTACTTAGCGGCTGGCAGGGATAAAGCCACAACACTGTTACTTTAAGAATGGATTTCTTTGTTTTGTAATGTTAATTTGTCCCGGGTTCAGCAGTAGCAGTCATTTTTCTTCTTCTTAGTAGCTGGTGTAGTGCTGTGGTTTTGACTTTCCGCCTGGGAACAGCACTGATAACACCGATGTTTTAGTTGCTGGTCAGAATGTTTAGTCTGACCAAGGACTTTCTGAGTCTTGTGCTCTGCCAGGGAGGAGGGGAAGCCGGGAGGAAGCAGAGACAGGACACCTGACCCAAACTAGCCAAAGAAGTATTCCATACCACAGCACGTCATGCCCAGTATGTAAACTGGGCGCAGTTACCTGGAAGGGCTGGATCACTGCTCGGGTTGGGCTGGGTATCGGTCGGTGGGTGGTGAGCAGTTGTATCGCTTCCCTTGTTATTTCCCTTATCATTGTTATTATTGGTGGTAGCAGCAGTGGTTTTGTGTTATACCTTAGTTACTGGACTGTTCTTATCTCAACCCATGGGAGTTACATTCTTTTGATTCTCCTCCCCATCCCGCCAGGAGCAGGGAGAAAAGTGGAGGGAGTGAGAGAGAGAGTGTGTGGTCTAATTTACAGCTGGGCTTAAACCATAACAATGTACAGAGAGAAAATCCGTATGAACAAATTTGGAGCTGGCTTAAGAAAAGAGAATTTCATTAAAGTTAGCATTTCCATTGTTAAAAACTGCAAATGTGGAAGGTAAAGATCAAGGAATAGCAAATACAGTAAATATATAAAATCAGGCAGAAGACAGATGAAACAGCAGACTAAGAAAGTGTCTAGCCCACCTGGTATTTCATATGCTTTACTTTTCAGAAGCTGCAATTAAAATGTTCACAGAAGTCTGCTTCTCAGATGGCAAACTGCTCCAAAGAAAGGAAAAAAAATAAACAGATAAATATTTTAAATCACTTTTTTTTTTTTTTCCTGGTTACAAAAACATCTGTGCCTGTGTCATCAATTTACCACCACAAGGCAGGCATTCAAAATTTGAGACCTTGAGAAACAGCAGCCCTTGCTGCTAGAAGTTACTGGGGAAACAACCAGGGGTGAAAGCCTATATTGTATCAACTGCTATACAGTACCTGCCTGTATGCATGCTCTTGTAGCACACAAGCACAGTGACACTCAAGGAGAAACAACAGATGAGTAAATGAGAGATCAATGGATTTACTCACAGTCCTTGGTGCTATTCAATATCAATAACGGCAGGAAAATCTATTTCTACCTTGAAAATAAAAAAGAAAAACTACAACTTAAACATCATGAGTTCCTTGCTTTGAAGCAGTTTGAGACTTGACATACCAGTACAATGAATAGCAGATTTTATTTTTTTATTTCTTATTTTTGCATTGAAATACAGTGGCACAGTCTTGGTTTAGGCTTCATTATGTCAATATTTGATGCACATCATGAGGAAGCGTCTCTCCCACATAACACATTTTTCAGAATAATACTGCATTCAGTCAACTTTCCTATGGGTAAACCTCAGGAAGATGGTAGTTCTGAGAGAAAACAAATATGAGAGCATCAGAAAGCAAAAGCTCTGATGTTTACAGTTGTCTTTCGTAAACTAAACCATGAACCCAAATATGGGTACCTCAGACTTATGACAGAATCTGTAATCTGAAAATGAAATTATACAAGAACAACTGATCCTTGTTATAATCACAGAAAACCATACATCAGAGACATTTAATTTATATTGCTATAGCTTGTCAGGGATAAAAATACTTCTGAGGACTCTCTTAAGAACTTATGGTAAAAAAATAAACAAATGTCATGATCACTGAGTTATAAGAAAGCCCATTTCTTCAGAGTTATACAACAAATGCCACAAAGATTATTACTTTAAAAAAAAAAATAGAGATGCAGAATATAATATATAACCCTTCATCCTTGTTAAGCCTGACAATTACTGTCACTGGCTCATCTATAGATCTTCTCGTTTTGTCAGCCTTACATTTTGAAGCTTTTTGATACACTACTCAGACAGAAACTTTTTAATAAAGCTTTGGTATGTGTGTTGAATTTTAAGCAAAATTACTGGTCATGAGATATAGATAGGGTGGACAATCTTCACTGACAGAGCATTGCCAGAGAAGATCAAATTTCCAATATTTTATTTTCATGGGTGGTCTGTTCTCAAGGTTCTGATGATAATGAAGATGCTTTAAAAAAACATGAAGTTGCTCTGTCAGAAGGGCAGGAAAATAGGAGTAGTGCCCTCTCTTTCAGTCAGTACCTCTTGGTATTGTAACTTTGTTACTTAAATTGTTCTCAGTCTGAAGCAATCATTTTCTGGATGGCTTCTGCCTGACATTATGTTATTCCAGCTGTTACTAGTCAGCCAACTAGCTACGCTGGGTGGGTAGTGATTTTGTCATTTAGAGCTTTCATGGCCCTCCTTGAACATTTCTTACTTTCCCCCCCTCCAAAAAAAAAACCAAACCCTCCCTCCCTTAACAGGCATGAGGAGCATGCACACTAAAAAGTCTCGTGTGCAAGAATAAAGTCAGGGTTCCCTCAATAACACCAGCTCAGTGCTCTGCAAGGATATGGTGGTTAGCCAAAATGCCATCATATCTTCTGTAAGGCCCATCAGGGATCCTGCTCTTAATGCTGATGTTGCATTACCTTGTACTAATGCTGTCATGCCACAGAACGTGTCTTGTTCTGCAAACACTGCAAATGCAGCACAGTGTTCAGCAACTGCCATTACTTCTGCTCTTCAGCTGTTGTTTCTCCTAGGCAATATGCCTAATGGCTAGAATATCTCCTGAATACCGAGCTACCAGCCAAGTTTCATGGCAAAAAGGAAAACTCTCCCATTTTTTGTAATGGGCAGAAAATGGGATATTCTCACCCTGTTCTTGCAACCCTCCTTTTCACTCCTTCTTAGAGTCATAATCTGGCAGTACCCTACCAGTTCATTACTGATGATAAATCCCACCACGGCACTTCTCAGTCCTGCAGCTACCATACCTTTTCCAAGAGATATCCTCTCCTCTCAGCTGTAGCCCACTTATTAGCTAGCTGCAAGTAATAACATTGCTGCTCAAAACTTAATGTCTGTTGTGAGGTAAAACGTGTAATGTTTCAACAATATAACAGCTCACAGTATTGTCCAAAAATATTTTTTTATTTAAGAATGGGAGATGTGCCCTTTCAGAAAAGTGCAAGCAGTGCTTGCTTCTGTGGGTAGAGATTTTGCATGTACCAGTGGCCACTCAGAGCTACAGACCACAAAATAATAATGCTACTGGGTGCTAAAGGCACCATATAGGGTGACTTTAAAACAATTCAGTGTAGTATTTTACTGCAAATGCTACCTACCTTGTAATATAATTTTTCCTTAAAGACAAAATGAATACTTCAAGGACTCCATTATCTTTGCTTTAGTTTCCTGAATTGGATGCTTTTCTCTGTGCTTTGTAAGGTTAATTTAAAATAGTCGTGAGGGGCTACTTACTTTAGGAAGCACTGCTCTCATCCTCCAGACAGCTTCTGAGTTTTAATCCACAGTAAACTCTCAGGTCATTCTCCAGTTACCTTCAGAGATCTCTTTAAAAATATTTTGAATTTCTACTTCCTAAAGATCTCATTTTTCTTCCTATCAAAATTCACAATTTTCCCCTGTGATTTCTGAAGTCTGCCCTGAACACAAGTAGCATGTTTTATTGAGTATGGATCTATATTGCTGTCATACTATCATTACCAATTGTCATGGTTTAATCTCAGTCAGCCACACAGCTGCTTGCTCACTCCCCCTGCTCCCGGAGGGATGGGTAGGAGAATCGAAAGAATGTAACTCCCATGGGTTGAGATAAGAACAGTCCAGTAACTAAGGTATAACACAAACCACTGCTGCTACCACCAATAATAACAATGATAAGGGAAATAACAAGGGAAGAGAATACAATTGCTCACCACCCACTGGCCGATACCCAGCCCAACCTGAGCAGTGACCAAACCCTTCCAGGTAACTGCCCCCAGTTTATATAGTGGGCATGACATGCTGTGGTATGGAATACTTTTTTGGCTAGTTTGGGTCAGGTGTCCTGTCTCTGCTTCCTCCCGGCTTCCCCTTCTCCTTGGCAGAGCATGAGACTCTTGGTCCTTGGTCAGACTAAACATTACTGAGCAGCAACTGAAAACATCGGTGTTATCAGTGCTGTTCCCAGGCGGAAAGTCAAAAACACAGCACTGCACCAGCTACTACAAAGGAGAAAAAATGGCTGCTACTGCTGAACCCAGGACACCAATAAAAGTTAACTTTTCATTTTCTGTATTATCTTTTGCTGATGAAATAATAGGTTTCTCATTCTGGCAAAACAATTTCTCTTCTTTTTGTACCCCAACAGTTTTATACTCTTTTCAGGCACCTTGTTTGTCTTTGCTTCCTAAATCAGCCTCTGAATGTGGACATGAGTATGGGGAAATTCAACAGTTTCCATATTCTCTCTAGGGATAGCAGGATTGCAAACATGAACTGAAATGCATAACTGTGGTCTGTTTTTTTGCTGGCGCGGTTTTGTTTTATTGTTTTTCTTTCTTTTTTTCTCTCCTTGATCTTCAGCAGTCTGCAGCAATTCCATCAGAGTAAGGAGATACACAATCAGAAGAGCCTACCTTGCTAGGAATCCAAATGAGACTGCATTCTTTAACAGCCAGCATGCGATCCCTTCATTTTCATTCCTGTTCAGTAGTACTTCTTACAAGCCCCACTAATGATCCTGGAAAAATTGTCAGATTTTGCCATTTGAGGGCATTTGAGCATGATGGAGCTTTGCTCAGCTGAAACCCCTTTATTAAATCAAGTTTTTCTTTGCTACAGAAGCTAAATCAGCCTGAATGCTGTGCTTTGTCACTGTTCGTTGTGTGTACAGATTGCTCTGAAAAAGCTCAACTGACTCTTAGGGAAAATTTCTAACTTTCATGCTTGCATAATGAATATATCTAATTGATAATAATGTAAACATACATTTGAAGTGACTACAAAACCCACCATTTGACAGTGTAAATTGTGTTAGTAGTGGCATCATTGCAGAAAGGGGGTTAAAAATCTGTGCTCACTCCTTTCTTACCTGTACTTGATCTGCTGAGTGATGTCAAATTAGAGGTAGGTATATTATGTCAATTTAAGAACTGAACTGAGACAATGGATTCATTTTAGCAGGTTAAAAACTATATAGCCATTAGCAGGCACTACTGTTCTATCACACTGTGGTCAACAGGAACTACAAACAAAAAGGTCAAAAAAATTCTATCTGGAAAACTTTTTCAGCTGGGCTTGTACTATAAACTTGTATGGGGCTCTAATACAGGCTGATGTGCCAGTTACACCAGTGTGTTATACCAAAATCTGAAATAAAATGAAACAACAAATTTAGTGACATTAGAAATTCAGGTATCCAGATGACACACTGCTGGGCACACAACATTGTTTTATCAAACAGGTATTTGTCTCAATTAAGCTAGATTCATGCCTGATTTTCAGTTTCCCCCTGCAAGAAAGACATCAGTATGAACAGGTACGATACTTTCCACCTGCCATCCAGAGCAGTCATGATCTCACCATGTTCTCAGTTCTTAATGTAAAACCTCAAATTAAATTTGATCATTAAAAATATAATATTCTTGATCAAACTTTACTCAGACAAGCAGGAAACCTTGTCTTTCTAAATTCAGCCACACAAAAATTACACCATGTCTCCTCTTGCAGTCATCTTCTAAGTCTCATGCTGGATTCTGGTTCTTATTTTCCCTGTGGTGGACTATTTGGATTGCTAAAAAGTATTTTAGCTGGATCAGACTCTTTTTTTAAATCAAGTTATTTTGTTATAAATATGTATGGCCACTGTTTTTGGCAATCTTTCAACATGCCTCCAAGTTGGTCAGAAATGTTAGGGTCCCATGGGTGTATGTATACTCACACTGTGAAATCATATACTACACTGTGGAAAGCAAAGAGGTTACCAAGTGGTTAACTATGGAAAGTTGCAAAGATATGATTTCATACTATAAACCAAAAAGAATTAATGTTTCCACAAAAAGCTCTGGAGCTAATGTACTCTCTCTAAAGTGGTGAGTCAGACAATCAGATTCATACTATGTCTTTTTTTAAAAAAAAAAAAAACAACAAAACCCAAACCCTTTTCTCCATTAGAGGTATGCTTAAAGAGCCAAAGTATGCAATTTGCTGGCTACATTTAAGCAGTGAAAACACCTACCACCTAGCATTGGTAAAAGTTTTCTTAAAAATGCTTGTTACCTTTCTCTTTTTATCTCACTTGGATGATCACTTTATTAAACAGTGATTTCATTCTTAGTTTTGAAATCCTCACCTATGATAGGAAAAGGATGTTTTAAAACTAAATTGAATGTCTTCAGGAGCAGGAATAAAAAAGGTTTGGGGGTGAAAGGGATACACAGCTGCTGGGTAATTCTCCTTAGCTGCTATCCACAGCTGACATTTATTAGAGCCTTCAAGCCACTTGTGCAAAAAACCTGCAGTGGTTCCTCTGTGTTTGTGGCTGACTTTCAATCAGTCCTATAGGCTTTTATTCCTGAAGTGAATCAATAGAGAGAGTTATTTTCAAAAGGCCCAAGTCATCTGCACTCTATTCGCATTTAGAACATTATTTCAGCTTCTTTCCCACAGAGCAAATATCACCAGCAACAAGACCACACCTTTTCATATCTATAAGGGAAAAGGGCAGTTTAACACTTTTGGCAAAGATATAAAGGTAACATCAGCTGTTTGAAGACACTTCTTTTTAATCTGCCTAAAAAAAAAGAAATAATACAAAAGAAAGTAGATAGGACTTGTGGTGTTTGAATTTATGTAAAGCTAGCCATTTCAGAACAAATTGCTGGGTAACCCTTTTGGAAGGAAAGATTCTATGAAATAGAATACTTTGGCTTTCAAAAATGAACAAAACTCCCTTGCTTTAGCCCAAATTAGTTCAATGCAGAAATGGGTAATAGAGCACACGGGCTTGCATCTAGTGTTTTTATCACTTCTAAGTATGTCTCTGTCTAGAGATTAAGGAATGGCAAAAAAAACATTTTTATTGAAACATTTGTCCAAATTTCAGAGGTAATTTTAATGTGACTGTCATTTTAAGTGACTGCTTCTGCATGTAAGCGTTATTAGCACATATATATATATCAAAAGTGATTTTGAAACTGATGTTAATCAGATCGCTTATGCACATCCTTTTCATGACATTGTTGAGAACCTGATCCCTGACACATTAAAAATCTGTAAGTAAATTTAAACAATTTTCACTGATATTATAAACTGTGTGGACTATTTATTGCTTCAGAAATAACTCATGTAGCAATGTATAACATAAATAGCTGACAAAGCATAGGCTTCATGTAAGAAAAAAATCTTTGGGTCATAAATTTTTTGTTATTAAATTGAATCATTTTTCCAAGTTGTCATCACAGCATTTGTCCCAGCTACCACATTTTCAGTGGTGTAAATGAGAACTGAATAGGTACAGCATTTCCTTGTATTTTGTGAGGATAGCTCTTAATGGACTTTCTCAGTCCAAATAACATTGATTTGGATTAGTGGTGATTGCAGATAAATGATAATGAGGTAGAAGTAGGAAAAAGGATTGTAGGATTCAGCACTTTATATTAATACATAAAGTTTACTCAAAAATTCCATTACATGCAGTCTAATAATGGTTTTAAATGAACTGCTTTGAATTGACGATGGAAACTACAAAGGTTTTTCATAACCATCATCATTGTATTTTTCAGATTGCCACACATATACCCAGAATACCTTTTTTTCAGATAAAGAAGTAAATATATCTGCAGTGTTGGAATACTAGAGCAGAGGAACAGCAGTCCTGTGCAGAAGTCACAGAAGTATTGGAATTAAGAAGTATTGGCCTGAGGGAGATTCCTCAAATCCATACAGCAGCTAACGCACACTGCAAGCGACAGTGACATTCTGGGAAGTGCTGAAATTGCACATAATAATTTTCTATTCAGTTTGATCAACATTCATGTTTATTTTTCACAAGTCTATTAAACAAAGTGCTACAAGATCTAAGACCAACAGAACCGAGTTTCAGACAAGACAGCATGTATTTTAAATTGCCAGTCC